CCTCACTTTCCTGAAAGATTTCAATTTTTATTCCATCAATTCCTGGTGCCTTGTTTTGTGCCACTTCTTTCAATGCACTTTGGACTTCCTCTCTGAGTATCATTGGCTCTTGTTCATATGGTATCTCTTGAAATGGTTGAACTGCTCGAAGTAATAGTGAAAAGCATAAAATAATAATAATCATCCCATTAAAGTCTTAACTGGGGTACTTGGCATAATCTGATTCCAGTTTAATTTTGGTTCATTGCTGTTTTTTAAAAAAATTCTAAAAAACAAATCTTTGTGTAGCTTCCTATTTTATTAAGCAAATATTTAATAATTCAAGATTTTTAGTGCCTGGAAACTTTCTGCATAAAACAGTCTGAGGTTTCCCAGTTAATAGTCTGATAAACATCTGAGTGGATTAGACTCGGCATCTGTTGATGTGGTTCAAGCCTATTGAGAAGAATGAGTTAATGATCTGTATGCTTAAGGAAGCCTAGTATGGTGCTGTTGGATAATATACTGGGGCTGCAAAGTTGGTTTAAACTGTAAGGTCGGCAGTTCAAATCCACTAGCCGCTCCTCGGAAACCCTATACAGGGTCACTATGAGTCAGAATCAACTTGATGGCATTTAACAACAATGTTCTTAAGGATTAAAGAAGAGTAGAATCCCATGGAACTTTAAATTCTAATTCAGAAGAAAGCTGAGAATTATGCAAAAGGATTAAAACTTTGGTATGATTTATTAAGTATTTATATACTACTACATTTTCATTTTGGCCATCCCTGGCTCCTAGTAATGACTGGTGGTGATACCCTTAGGAAGAATCAGGACTTTCTTTAGGTGGAGTTGTGAGTGTGGAACTAGGAAGGGGAGGGAATCTGAGAAGGCTGTATCCAGCCAGGGGGTAGAATAGTAATGGCATCATTTGAGTCCTTCTTAGTATCATTTACCCACTGTAAAAGTCAAATGCACAAAAAAAGATTCCCCCCAGTTTCCTGAGTTTTGGTTCCTTGGGTCACTGTCAAAACAGGTGGGATACAGGTCTGTGAGGTAAAGGACATGGCTCTGGGTGAGGGCTCTCCAGCCTTGTCTGGTGGACAGGCAGTGGCTGCTCCTGCAGCTTAAGTGGGAGGAACAGGGGGCAGAGCAGGGCGCTCTCTGCTTCCTGTCTGCATGCCCTGCAGCTGCAGTTTCCTCTGCCACCTGCTGCCACTACCACTGGCCTTCACCAGCAGCTCTAGTGGCAGCAGCAGCCATAAGGACAACTGGAGGTGGACTCCCATAAAGTTTTAATACGGTGTTTGCACAACATCCATCTCATATAGCATCTTATTCCACAGAATGCATCATGTGGGTTAATGTGCCAGACTGCAAAGCCGTTTGACCTGCAAGGTTCAAGCTCACCAGCTGTTCCTCAGAAACCCTATACAGGGTCGTTATGGGTTGGAACCGACTCTATGGCATTTCACAACAACAACATCATGTGGACATTAAATGATGCATACCTATACGAATAAGGAGCTCTGGTAGCGTAGTGGTTACGAATCAGGCTGCGAGCTGCAAGGTCAGCAGTTCGAAACTACCAGCTGTTCCGCAGGAGAAAGATGAGGCTTTCTGCTCCCATAAAGATTTACAGCCTCAGAAACCCTGTATAGGGTCGCTATGAGTCGAAACCGACTCCACGGCATATAACAACAACAACCTATACAAACATGATGGTTGTCTTCATAGCTTTTTTTTTTCCCCCTTGGATTTGTGAATTTAGTTGATGATCAGCTTCTGCCCTTTAATAGTTCAGCTATTTCTGGGGATAGAGTAACAGTTCCCCTGTTTGTTGTGATCATTTATCAAAGCCAAACTCAACTAAGGCAGGAAAACTCAGGAAGAAGACCATAAATACCTTGGTTTCTTCATCAAACTCTTCCATAGACTCTATCAGTTTCCCAGGTTCCAGCTCACCTAGTGGAAATGGGTAATCAGTTCCCAAAATCACTTTATCCTGAAAAGAGAAAATATATTTCCCCTGTAATTTTATAGAACATCAAAGAACCTTACATATAATTATATTTACTTATTACAAGCACTCTTATGGTAAGATAACAAATTTCTTGCAGATTAATAGAAACTTCAGAGAGAAAGAGGAAGACCTCCAATGAGATGGATTGGTCAAGTGGCAGCATCGATGGACTCAAGCGTGGCAACAATAGTGAGATTGGCCCAGGATCGGGCAGTGTTTTGTTCTGCTGTGCATAAGGTCGCTATGGGTCGGTACCGACTCTATGGCACCTAACAACAAAATTTAAAGGTTTAATGGATTCAAAACCGATTCTGACATTTTCTCCAGCAGGTGTCACTATCGGGTCTCCTAACATTGAAAACCAGCCCCATCCTCCTCCTTACTTTCAATACGTATATTACTGAACTATAACTACTGAAATATAAGAAGACATTTATTTACTAAAACATACTGATGTCTTAAGCTGAAATTGAAGTATCTTTTTTAGAAGACTACATTGCTGTTAATCTTACAACTTCAGAAAGCATACTAATTGAAAATGAAAAGTAAAAAACTGGATAAAAAGTCAAAAACCAAATATAAAACCAATTCCTATTTCTACTAACTGAATCAATTTTAAACTTTATATAACAGAACACACAACCTTATCTGAGTACACCAGTCTGTGTGCTAAAATCTAGATGTACCCTGGTCTACAAAGCAGACATGGCCCCTTTCCTTGGGAACACTTAAAATCTAATGGGAATGAAGACATTAAATCAATAATGAAAGTCTATCAAAATAAAACAAATTTTGAGCCATAAATTTTACTTATGAAAATATATCCAATTCATATATATGAGGGGTATTTGAAAAGTCTATGGAAAAATGGAATTGAAAAGTAATGGAATTTTCTTATGGACTTTTTGAAGTGCCCTTATATAAGCGATATAGCCAAGGAAATTAGTTACAACGTTATTTGTAGCAGTAAGACACTGGTCAACTAAGTTATGCCATATACTAAAATAACTGAAAATAAGAAATGAGAATGAGAAATATCTACATATGCTGAATATGCAAATGGAATCACCATGTCCAAAAGAAAGAAAGTTTTGGAACAACTATGTTCTAACAGGTGACCCATAGACACAAAAGCTTATGTTTGTATATAGAATATATTAGAAATGATACAACAAAAGTAAGTAGTATTAGTTACTTCCCAGGAAAAGTTACAAAGTTGTATAACTGTCACCGCTGTCTAATATCAGAACATTTTAAGAGTCACCTCTAGCTAATTCCAGATCACCCCAAAAATTAACCCCAGGCACATTAGCAGTCACCCCCATTCCCTTCTCAATTCAGCCTCTGGTAGATACTAATCTACTCTCTGGACAATTCTTATTAATAAAATTGTACATTATGTAACATTCTTTCTTTTAATATAATGTTTCAAATTTTCATCAATGACTAATTTTTTTTGCTGAATAATATTCCATTGTATGATAGATATACAGTATTTGTTTACTTATTCATCAGATTATGATTGTTTTTAGTTTTGGCTATTATACTTCTATGAACATTTGTGTACAAGTTTGTAGGTGAATATATGAGGGTAAGTCATAAAGTATTGCTATAAAATCTTGGAACTCTTCATTAAACAAAAATAATGAAATGTAAAGCTATTGTTTCTTGATGTCTCCTTCATATAGGTCTATACACTTCCGAAAATGATGTTTCCATCTCTCTAATCCTTCCTTCCTCATGGAAGCAGCAGTCAAGAAATCAAACGATGTATTGAATTAGGCAACTCTGCTGCCCAAGACCTTTTTAAAGTGTTGAAGAGAAAAGATGTCAGCTTGAGGACTAAGGTGCACCTGACCCAAGCTATGGTATTTTCAATAACCTCATATGTATGCGAAAGCTGGACAGTGAATAAGGAAGACCGTAGAAGAATTGATGCTTTTGAGTCTTGGTGTTGGAAGAGAATATTGAATGTGCCATGGGCTGCCAAAAGAACCAAAAGATCCGTATTGGCAGAAGTGCAGCCAGAGTGCTCCTTGGAGGCCAAGATGGCCAAACTTCATCTTGCATACTTTGGACATATTGTTAGGAGGGACCAGTCACTGGAGAAAGATATCATATTTGGTAAGGTGGAAGGTCAGAGAAAAAGAGGAAGACCCCCAACGAGATGGATTGGCCAAGTGGCAGCATCGATGGACTCTAGCGTGGCAACAGTAGTGAAGTTGGCCCAGGATCGGGCAGTGTTTCATTCTGCTGTGCATAAGGTCAGTATGAGTCGGTGACAACTCAGTGGCACCTAACAACAACAACCCTTCCTTCCACCACTCATATGTCAGTTTGTTGTACTGTGGTGGACTGTGGGTTGCTGTGATACTGGAAGTTATGCTACTGGCATATCAAATACCAGCAGGGTCACCCATGTTGTTGTTAAGTAGTTTCTGACTCATGGTGCCCCTGTACAGGGTTTCCAAGGAGCCTCTGGGTGGGTTTGAGCTGCCAACCTCATGATTTCAAGTCCAGTGCTGATTCTACAGTGCCATACCAGGAGTCTGGGGTCACCCATAGAGAACAGGTGTTAGCGGAGCTTTCAAACTAAGACAGACTAGGAATAAGGATAGGCAGACTACTTCTGAATGTTTAGTCACTGAAAACCTTATGAATAGCTCCGGAACTTTGTTAGATATAGTGCCAGAAGATGGACCCCCTCAATTTGGAAGGCACTCAAAATATGACTGGGAAAGAGCTGCCTCCTCAAAGTAGAGTTGACCATGATGATGCAAATGGAGTAAAACTTTTAGAACCTTCATTTGATCATAGGGCACAACTCAAAATGAAGAAAGACAGTTGCAAACATCCATTGATAATCAGAACATGGAATGTATGAAGTATGAATCTAGGAAAATTGGAATTTGTCAAAAGTCAGATGGAATGCATGAAGATCAGTATCCTAGGTATTAGTGAGCTGAAATGGACTTGTATTAGCCATTTTGAATCTGACAATGATATGATTTACTATGCTTGGGACAATAAACTGAAAAGAAATGACATCACATTTATTGTCAAAAAGAATATTTCAAGATCTATCTTGAAGTAGAATGCTGTCTATGATAAGATAATATCCATATGCCTGAGACCTGTCTTGCTATAGTGATCTCCAGGGACAGTGCTTGATAAAGGAGAGAGTCACCAAACAAGAGGAAGACCACCAACAAGATGGATTGACACCATGGGGGCAGCAATAGGCTCAAGCATAACAACAATTGTGAGGATAGCACAGGACCAGGCAGGGTTTTGTTCTGTTGTGTATAGGGTTACTATGAGTTGCAACACACTCTAAGGCACTTAACAACAACAATAAATAATAAATCCTCCCCTGAAGAATTCTGCACTCCTCAATTTACACTATGCCAAGATGGTAGTTTTGACATCCTTGAGGGACTTAAATTGTATACTTTTTCAGTATTCTTTGAGTGTGGGGAACAAAAAGCAGTCTGAAGGAGCAAGATCAGGGCTGTGGAGTAGATGGGGTAAAGTTCCCCAATGAAATTCTCACAGGACATCCTTTGCTACCCTAGAAGAATGAGCTGGTGCATTGTCATGGTGGAAAAAATACCTTGGTGCAAATTTTTGGCCATTTTCTCAACACTGGAGTATTTAATTTTCTTAAAACTTTTTCGTAGTAAGCCCCAAGGATTGTCCTGTGTTCTTGGATAAAATCTATCAAGATTACCATATTGCAATCCCTCAAAACAGTCATCATAACCTTCTGAGCTGATCTGTCTTCCTTGATTTTAACTTGCCCAGCAGATCCCCTAGGAAGACACTTGTTGATTGGACCTTTTTCTGAAGGCACCCAAAGGAGACTAAGACAAGTGTATTACTGAGAGAACTTGTGTTGTCATTGAAGAGACATGTTTCTGTATGTTTTGTTTGCAATAAACCTACACATGTATAAACTGGAACCATAGTTTTAAAACTTTCTTTAAAAGTTTTTTTGTGTGAATTGAGTAATAGCTTATGTGGGAGAACATCAGTTTTACACTCATCCTATTGTATTTCATTTCATCGCAATGATTACAATCCCCTCTGTGCATCATCATTCAACAGTTATTTACTCCTATTCCCTCTTTTTTTTTTTTTTTGATGTGTACAAAAACACTCAGGAATATATAATCATTTATTATTGTTAATTTCACTCCATTGTGAGCAGAGAACATATTTTATTTGATTACAGTCCTTTTAAATTCACTGAGACTAGTTTTATGTTTTAAGATATGGTCTGTCCTGAAGAATGTTCCATGAGCACTTGAGAAAAAAATTTGTATTCTGCTGTTATTGGATGGTGTGTTCTATAGATCTAGTTAGTTGACAGTGCTGTTCAAGTTTTCTAATTCATTTTTCACCATCTTTGAAATTGTTCTATCACATATTGGAAGTGAAGGGTTGAGATCTCTCACTATGATTTTTGAATTGTCTCTTCAGTTTTATCAGTTTTTACTAGATGTATTTTGAGGTTTTGTGATTAACCATGTTTATGTTTATAATTGTTGTCAGGTGCCATCGAGTCGGAACCGACTCATAGTAACCCCATGCACAGCAAAATGAAACAATGTCTGATCCTGGGCCAACGTCACTACCGCTGCCACACTTGACGCCATCAATGATGCCACCTGGCTGATCCATCTCGTTGGGGG